CATTAGGGAACAGCACAGCCAATAAACTCCTGGCGACTCCCCAGGGAAGCTGGGCTTAGTTGAATTTATTCTGGAATTCTGTGTTTAAAGACCGGTGTTTGTTTCTCACGGGTTAGTATTCATCGACTGGCCGGAATGTCGCGTGGCCCTGCCTCACGCAGGAAGGAGCTACCTCCGTGCTCCAGAGCGAACTTTGCCCCTGCTCTGGGAGCAGGGGCCCCGACGACCCAGGAAAGCCCTGTTGGAAATCCAGTTCCACGGACAGCAACAAGGACAAGAAGCGCTGGTTCCCAGGCGAGGGGCTCGCTCTGCTCGCAGACCCAGGGCAGACACCAGCCACCTTCCAGCGACAGAGAAGGGCTCTCCCTCGCAGTGACCCTCCCCACGCACCCCAACACCCACACGGAGTAACAGAGGGCTTCTGAGTTACTAAGAATGCAGAGAAACGAAGGAGGGGGAGACGTGCCAACAGTAACTGGGGGTACCTGGCGCCATCCCCCCATGCCAGGCGGGCAGTCCCCACCCCACCTGCCTCCATCTGGCATTGGAATGTCAGAGTCAGGCCCTGAGCCACCCACGCCAGCATTTGTCCTTGGCAGAAACCCTCATGAGCAGCGCGCAGCAGAAACACAACACAACACAATGCCGTGGCTTCCAGTCATGCACCCTGCGATCGCCGCACAGCCTGCAGCCCCGCCGGGGAACCGGGCTGGCAGGGAAGCTGCGGGGCCGGGAGCTCCACGCCACACCTGGGCCACCATGGAAGCCAGCCCACACCACACAGGACGGCCCTCCGGGATGCTCCTAACTGCACAAAGCCGGACACTCACGGGTCAGGGTCCTCCCGTCCAGGGCAGAAAAAACCCCCGGGCGAGGGCTGTAGTCACTCCCTGTCCCCCGCCTCGGGGAGGGCCCTGCCCGCCGGCAAAGGCTGCTCTCTGAAGCCTGCACAGCTGCAGTAGAAGAACACACGTGCACAGCGAGCCCAAGCGCTTGCCCCGAGCGACGGGGGGCCGGCCACGAGCCTGAGGCTGTGCCCTCACCCCACTCCAGCCCTGGACTGTGCGGCCCTTGCAGAGCTCCCAGGCCAGCAAACAGGCTCGCAGGGGTCCCAACAAGGTCTTCATGGTCCCAGGGCCAGCTCTAAGGACACTGTGGTGGGTCAAACGGTGTCCCCAAAATGACCTGTTGAAGTCCTAACCCCAGGCACCTGTGAATGTGACCTTTTTTTGAAATAAATGCTTTGTATATATAACACAATATGACATCTGTCTTTATGGAAAAAGGGACAGCCAGAGTAAGAGCCACAGAGTGACCGCCATACAGTGAGAGCCACAGAGTGACCACCACAGAGTGACCGCCACAGACTGAGAGCCACAGGGTGACCGCCACAGACTGAGAGCCACAGACTGAGAGCCACAGGGTGACCACCACAGAGTGAGAACCACAGACTGAGAGCCGCAGGGTGACAGCAGAAAGTAATGGCCACAGAGTGACAGCTAGAGTGACCGCACAGGGCTCAGACTCCCCCAACAGAAGCCACGCCAGTGGTGCACGGTCCTTGGGTGTGTGTTCCCATCCCCAGGACAAACACGGTCATTTACTTCACCGAAAGACTTCAAGACTGTAAGACAAGTTGTATGGTCACTGGGGAAAAAAAGTTTGTTTTTTTATTTATTGAATTTTTTATGAAAACCTGTATGTGTATTTGTTGCAAAGGCGTGTGATGGGGGATCTACAGACTCTTTCAAGCTGAGCAGTTTTTACTGCAGGATAAAATTCTGGCCAAATCTGATGTCTGTCATAAGAGTAAGGGAAAACACTCTGATGTAGGTTGTGGACTGGGAAAGAACAAGTACATGATTTTTTTTAAATGACGAACGGCGGGTGTCACAGCCATGTCTCCGCGGGGACCCGGGCCGGCTCAGGCCTGTGGGGTGGGGGCCTCCTCACCCTGGGGTGGTGAGTCTGAGCCCCACGGCGGGCGCAGAGCTTACTTAGACATAAAACGAAAATCCAAAAACCATGTTGGTATTTAGTTCCTTGGATAGGTTGACAAGAGTAACAGCTTTACTTCAAAATATCCGTATTTACCGGAAATTCCACGCCTGGCAATCATTTACACTTGTGATTTCTTACAAAATTTAAATGTTGACTTCAAAATGTGCGAGCAGTTTGACAGCTTTTCAAAATTCTTGGAAATGAGAGCCAAGACTCTGAAGACCCCCACCCCATTCACATCGGCCGCGGACTGGTCAGGCCGGGAGCCCCTGCTCGCTTTAGCTTGGGAGCGACGTCCCTGCAGGGGACCCGCGGCTCAGAAGAGTGAAGCGAAGTCCTGCTGGTGTCTGAGAAAGACCAGGGTCCGGAGACGAGCACAGGACTTTGCAGGAGACGGCGCCTGTCAGGGACGTCCTGTCCTGGCGCTGATCAGGAGCGAGGTCTGTGGAGGGCAGGGGCAGAGGCGGGGAGGGCAGCTCAGGCCAGGGTCTGCAGAAGGACGGCTCTCGCAGGGAAGTGAGGTAGGGCAGACCGGTGGGCAGCGCACGCTCGGACGGGTCAGGGAGGACCACCGAGCAGACTTCGGCACTACCACGTCACGGCCTCAGACTGCAGGGCGGGACTCCAACATCTCAGGACGGTCCTTGGGAGGATGGGGAGCAGGCGCGGCCTGCGCCGGACACACTGACGTGGTGGGACGGGCAGGCACGGAGGCCAACGCTCGGAGGCCACCCCGGGGTCTGCTCATGAGGGTCCTGGCGCTGCTGGAAACTGGGTCAGGAGTGAACTTTGAATGGACACCGAGGGGCTGCTTGGCTGTCCTCTCTCGTGCGCGGGCTCATCGGCTCTGGGAAGACCGGGAGTGCCGGGGGCGCCTGGGTGGCTCAGTGGGTTAAAACCTCTGCTTTCGGCTCAGGTCGTGATCCCAGAGTCCTGGGATCAAGCCCCGCATCGGGCTCTCTGCTCAGCGGGGAGCCTGCTTCCCTTCCTCTCTCTCTGCCTCTCTGCCTGCTTGTGATCTCTCTGTCAAATAAATAAATAAAATCTTTAAAAAAAAACAAAAACAAAACAAAACACCGGGAGTGCCTAATCGAGACCTGCTCTGGTGCTCAGAGTCCTGCCTCACCCAGCCACGTTAATGAAGCCTCTATGCTGTCCGAGGCCCCAGAACACAGGGCGAACACCAGATCCTCTCCCGGACCAGAGCTTGCCACGAAAACAAGTGAGCACTCAAGCCCTCAGACCCGCCCAGCTGCAGGGGGAGACGCCGTCACACCACAGAACCAGGCAAACCAAGGAGCACAACTTTCCGGGAAAGCAGAGGGTAAGGACCTGCAGGCAGACTGCTCAGCCCTGTGGACGGGGTCTGAGGGCGGGGGTGCACCCCAGGGCCCTCCTGCCTCCCTCTGCCTCCTTCTGAGGCCCTGTGTGTGCCACAGAGACCAAGAGTCAGAGGCAGCTCAGACAGCTGGTCCACATCACACAACTGTGAGGGGGCTTTTCTCCAGCTCCAGCTACCTCCACCCAGCCCTGTTGCTGCTCCGAGCGTCTGCATGCCCAGAAGGGGGGAAGCTGCACCCAGTTTCTGCCTAGTTGGCCTGGGCAGGCTCGCGGACCGGCATTTCGCACAGGATGAGGCTGACTGCCCGGCTACCAGCTCGAGGCCCGTTTCTCCAGTGACTTGAGTGCCCCCACATGCTTGGGCGTCACATGCCAGAGCCCAGGGTCACAGTGACCAGACCCAAGCACAGAATATTGGGAATTAATGTCCCAGTGAACGCTTGGACTTTGCACGCCTTGCCACAAGCCCTGGCTCACTCACACAAGGAGCATTTACCGATCACCTGCTGTGTACCTGGCGAAGCAAGGGTAGGGCCGGCCACGCATGGAAACTGATAGCCTGGCCAGTAGCCTCCGCTGACCCAGAGCTCTGCTGGGAGCGGGGAAAGGACCATGTCCACTTCCTGTGGAAGAGCGGGGTAGGGGGTGCTGCCTTTGCCAGGGTTGGGAGAGTACCCTGGATGTTCAGACAACCACGGGCCGCCCAGCCTGGGGCAAGGCTCACACCGGTGCTGAACCAAGTCCAGCCACTGGACCATAAACGGGGCAACGAAGGGGTTCATCAGGCGACAGCAGGACCGCTGAATTGTGGGCAGGTGTCGTCTGGTGTTTGGGTCTCCTTTGCCCCAAGGCTGCCTGGCAAGGTCAGAATGAAACCCTAACTGTTGCTCCCTACATCCCATGAACCCTCGCTCCAGGGAGGAGGCGGGCCAGACCCCCCGCTGCTCAGAGGGGCCCTGCCCGGTCTCCCGCCCGCCCGCTCCCCGCTCCGCCTCTGCAGCCGCCAAACCCCCCCGCCCCCCGCGAGGACTGCGGCAGCCCCGCCCCGGGGCGGCGGGGGAGGGACGGGAGCGCCCCCGCGGAGCGTCCACGACCCACCCAGAGCGCCCCCCACCCCCGGCAGTGCCCCCAGCCGTGCGCCCGGCCCTCGGCCTCGGGGGCCCAGGTGGGCCCTCACCCAGCAGCAGGGGGCGGGGGCGGGGGCGTCGCTCAGGACACCCGAGGGGCCCCGCCCCGAACCGCTTCCGCCGCGCACAGGCCGCCGCCTCCGCGCCGCCGGCAGAAGGGACCGCGTCCCCAGGAGCGCGCAGCCCCAGTCGCGCCGCGGCGCCCGCCGAAGTGAGCCAGGCCTTGCGAGCGCGGGGACCCCCGGCCTCCCAGGCGCCGGGTCCCCCGCTCGGGTGACACTGCGGCAGGCGCGCGGGCGGCTCGCCGAGGGCGGGGCCGCGGGGGGCGGGCGCGTTGCCATGGCGGCGGGGCGCGCGTAGCCGGAGCCGAGCCCGAGCCCGAGCCGGAGCCCGAGCCCGAGCCCGAGCCGGAGCCCGAGCCCGAGCCGCAGCCGCAGCCGCAGCCGCAGCCGCAGCCTGGGCCCCGCCGCGAGGCCGAGGCCCCCCGCGCGGGTGTGTCCGAGGCGCCCCCGGCGCGCCCGCGGGCTGCAGGCCATGGACGCGGCCGAGCTGTACGAGGAGGATGGCAAGGACCTGGCGGGCTACGACTTCGAGCCGCTCCCCACTCTGCCGGAGGACGAGGTGAGCCCTGGCGCCCGCGGTGGGACCCGCTTCCCCCCGCCTTCCGGGCAGAGTCCGGGGGAGGGCGCCCCCGCCCCCCGCAGGCCGCTACCCCTGGCCCAGGTCTTGGCAGCCGCTCTCAGCAACCCCCACCGGCCTTGAACGTTCTCGCTCCGAGAGAGCAGGCCCCCTGGAACGCCCCCTGGGACGGCAGTGGGTGGGTGGGCACTGAAGAAGTTGGTGCCTTGTGGGCTGGGGGGCTCCGGACTGTAAATGTTGGATGGATGAGTGTGGTTTCGACATCGTGAGGGGGAGGAGGTGGATCCTGTTTTCCTCCTTGCCAGCGCCCTGGGAGGTCAGTGGGAGGCACCAGCCAGCAGAGCCCAATCCAGCCCTCAGGTTCGGCAGCTGGGGTGGAGGTCCAGAAAGCCCCCCAGGACAGAGGGCTGCTTCTTGAACACAGTGGACAACAGGGGCCTCAGGATCCTGAGTCCTGAGGCATCCCCCTACCCAAGGCTCAGAGAGACCAGCAGCCTCCCTCACATGGAGCTGCTGGTCATTCACTGGACTGGAGCCCACAGAACCCATTTGCCTGCAACTCTGGCCTCCCTAGCGCGCCCCACAGGCTGTGGCTCGGGGTCAGATGAACAAGCCAGGTCCCTCCATGGGATCGCCGGCCCCCAGAGGACGCAGCCGCCCCCAGAAAGACCCGAGGCTGTGAGGTCTGGGTGGAGGGCCTTCCAAGCTTCCAGCCGGCGAGTGGCCTGGTCTCCCGGCTTCTGTGCTCGTGGCTGAGGAACGCTGGCATCGCGCCGCACTCGTGAGAGGGGCTGCAGCCGGACGGTGCTGGTGAAGACCCTCCAGTGCTGGGCAAGGCTGGTGCCAAGGCTGAGACATGGCCTCCAGCCTCCTGGCGCATGAGGGGCTCATAGGGGCCACAGCTGCAGTCTCCACGGTCTTCCACCTCTGCCCCCCACTCTCGGAGGAGAGCTGTCCAGGGTAGCAGAGTGTGCCCCGGGGCACCGGTGGCCGGCCAGCCGAGGGCTGCTGCTGTTGCCTGCTCCCTCCCACGCCTGCCATGGTGGCCTGGATTTGGTGACAGTCTGCAGAGGGGGAAGCAAGAGCGTGAACAGAGCTTTGGGCATCTCTGTGGCTTTGATGGGAAATGAAAGGGCGCACCCAGCCCACAGCGGTCGGAGTCCCCCCCAGAGAACACATTTCAGCGTATCTGTTAGAGACTCACCTCCGAAGTCAGCATCCGAAGCAGGTGTAGAACGCAGTTCTTCTGCAGACCCGTGTTGGGTCAGCCAGTCCCCTCTGAGGGCCACCTGTGTGCCCCATGCAGAGTCAGCGGCCCGTGCCCAGTGACCAGAGCAGCAGAGCCAGGACCCAGACCCAAAGCCGGATCCCCGCCCATGGTCGGCACTCCTGTGTGCCCTGGTGCCTTCTCTGGGCTGGGGTTCCCTCGTGCCCCTCTGGGTCGGAGCAACCCCCTAGCTGTGCACAGTGTATAGGGCTGAGGGGTTCCCCTGTCCTGTGACCGGGGCCTCCAGGTGAAGTGGGAAGCCGCTGCGTTAGTAGCGTCCACCGGGAGAGCTCAGCTGGGCCCTTGGAACTTCTCGCACCTCTTCTGGGAGACAGAGGCACTGTCTTTGGGCATGATCCCATAAAACAGGAAGCCCGTCGAGTCTCCAGCCTTGGAGCCTGACCGATGTCCTGTACCTGCGAACACACCTGGTTCAGACTTTGCACACACTGAGCTCAGCTGGTGCCGGAGGTTTTACATCTCCATCAGAGACACGCGACTGTGCTGCTACAGCCCTGCAGAGCCGGGCTGCCTCTGGAAAGCTCCTGTGTAAGGGGAGGGGGAGGCAGCCTGCATGGTCACCCGGGGCGGGCCACCCTGGTGCAAGCCCTGGAGAGAGCCAGGCCGAGAAGACGCGGGGCAGCTCCCCACGGAGGGACGGCAGGTGTCAGACCCAGGACACAGACAAGGAACTCGCAGTTCCACAGCTGATCACAGCCGACTGCAGAGCAAGGCCAAGACACGGGACCCTATGCTCACCCCCACCCCTGCCAGGAGCCCCCTGGAATGTTTCGCTGGTTGTAACCCTGGAGAAAAGCCGAGTGGCCAGTAAAGACATGAAAAGTGTTCAACTTCATCACAAGGGACGCCGAGGACGCTGACGGCGGGCGTCTCTGCACGAGGCCCGTCGGCGAGGGCCATCACCGTGCGGTGGCTGCGTCGGCCGGGACTGGCATGCCAGTGGACACCCCTGCCAGAGTGAGTGTGTGTGGAGCAGCCTCTCTGGGAAGCAGCTTGGTGTCTGGTGGTGACGTGGAGGATGGGATGGCCGCTCCCTGCGTCCCGGCAGCTTCACTCCGGGGGCAAGCCCTGGAGAATTCTCTGAGCTGGACACCCCCGGAGCACATGGCGAATGGGCCCGAGGTCCTGGAGGGTGTCGCCCAGCCCACTCTCTGGCTTCCTGCAGGCCGTGTGGCTGCACTGGCACCAGCGAGGGACAGGGACGGGGGATCAGGAAGAGCAGTGGCTGGGGTGGGGGGGGTTGCCAGGCCTTCTGGAGGCCGGTGGTGCCCCTTCCAGGGGCCTTCAGGGGACAAGGACAGGAGCGGGCTTGGGGATGAAGATGGCGCACCGGTTTGGGCCCGGAAAGGAGTGTGTCTCCTGCTCCCTAGACTCCCCGGAGGTCTAAGGAGTATTCTTGTCCCTTCGAAGTTCGGTGAGCACCTCCCTGGCATCTATGGGCTGGGTGCTGGGCTGGGCCCAGGGATTTGGAGGTGGGTGGACCCACAGCTCGAGGGTGCCCCGTGAGGAAACAGATATTCCCGCGGAGCCCCGCTGGGTCCGCGTGAGGCCCCTGCCCAGACAGCACAGGGCAGCAGACAACTGGGAGGCCAAGGAGAGCATCGTGGTGGGCAAAGTTTGGAGGGTGGAGGGGGCACTTTAGGGCCAGTGGAAGGCCCCGAGCAGGGCACTCTGCAGAGCTCCCCAGGCCTGGCGGTCCGGCCCCTTGGAGGAAGCTGCCGGCAGGCCTGGGGGGTGTCTCAGCTGCTCTCAGCAGTGATCCGTGTCTCGCGGGGCAGTTCCTGTTAGGGTGCTGTGAGGTTGAAAACGTGAACATCTAAGCGTACACATGAGATCCTCACGAGCAGTCCAGGGGTCCCTGTGGGTCCCTGCGGGGCACCCTGGCTCACGTGCCCTCTCTGACAAGGGGCAGTGGGGTGTCTTCAAAGCCCAGACTCTCCTGGGGGGACACACTCTGCCATAAGCAGACAAGGGTCCTCAGGTGGGAAGCTGGCCCTCGCCTCTGAGACCCAGGGACCGGCTGATGCGGGGCACCCCTCCTCCCGGACTGGGCGGGTGGAGCTTGTGCCTGCAGGACCTCTAGGGAAGGACAGCGTCTTCCTGTCTTGTAAGGACTGCGGCTTAGGCGACCCGCACCCTCAAGCCTACCCCACATTCCACCCAGGTGGTGCGTTCCTGGGGAACAGTGGGGGGGGGGGGTTCCAGGACCCAGGGGCCCGCCCAGAAGGCTTGGTCTGACCCAGGATGTACAGCCATCAGAGGCTGCCCAGCAGTGACAAGGTCAGGCTGTGCTGGCGGTGGCAGGGGACAGCTGCAGTGTGGGAAGTCATGGTGCCTGCGGCCTGCCACGGGCCGTCATGGGTGCTGGGCGCGTGGGCGCCCCACGGGTGGGGCTGCAGACAGGCATCAGTGGGCGCTGTGACCAGCTTTACTGCTCGCAGCGCGTCACCTGCTTCTGAAATGTCTGCCACAAGCAGTGACGCTCTTGTCCGTCCTGCCCCAGGCCCCGGAGTGTCACTAGGGTCTGTGTCCCAGGACATGCGGGGCCCACCTGGCAGCGTGGCTGAGCCTCTGGGTCTGGAGATGGGCACAGGTGTGCAGGGTGCCCACGCAGCTCTCGTCTGTCAGGGTGGCCAGGGGTGAGGGGCGTCCCCTGGGATTCTGGTGGAGATGGGCCGGGGACCCTGAGCAGACGACACAGGCTTCTCGGTCTCTCATCCTTGTTCCCGCCAGCCCACTGGCCGAGTTTCATCCCGCCCACCCTCCTAGAGCCACGGACTCAGGCAAGGAAGGGTGATTCTTCTGGGTGAACTGACGGAGGGGGTGTCAGGTCCCAGAAGACAGGTGACCAGGGAGTCTGTGGCTCAGGGTCCCCCAGCACGTGGTGAGACCCCCCCCAACTTTGGTGTGCCAGGAAAGCCAGTGGCAGATCTCAGCTCTGTCCTGGAACCATGTCAGCTGAATTGTGCCTTCCCGTCACAGCTGGGCTCTGGAGGGGCCGAGAGCATCTTGTCCGTGAGTGGGGGCCTCGGCCATGAACCGGAAGCAGTGACTCAGGACCCATCAGACCAGCCACCTGTCCAGATGCCCCACCATGAACAGGCGCTGGGGGCTACAGGTCTTTTGGGAAGGAAGAGGCGCCCCCTCACAGGGGCATCCTTCAGCCGGACGGGGTGGGGGCGGCCTTGAACAGGAGGTCATGCCACGGGCCATGAGATGCCCCATGGGCAGCCCTGACCTGGGCTCCCTTCTCTGGGCAGCGCGTCAACAGCTGTGGGGGCTGGCACGTGCGGCCGGCGCAGGCTGACCAGCGGGCATGAACAAGGCCCTGCTGTGGGGACGGGCTCAGACGGGCTCAGTGTGGGCTAGCGTGCTTTTCCTAAACAGCACAAACCACGGGGTCTTTGGGCCGTTTGTTAGTGTGTGCCTGTGCATGTGGGGCCTCATGCGTGTGCACGTGTGCGTGTGGGGCCGCGTGTGTGTGCGGGTGTGCGTGTGTGCCTGTGCATGTCATGGGTGTGCACGTGGGTGTGTTGCATGCACAAGTGTGTGCACATGTACACACTTCCTAGCCAGCTCCTTAACGAGGCCCCACAGGCACCATGGGGCGCTCCTGCATCCTGGGGAGTCCCCAAGTAGTGCACAGTGACCCCTAGATTGAGCCAAATCAGAAAGACCTTTCGGGGTGCCTGGGTGGCTCCATCGTTAGGCATCTGCCTTCGGCTCAGGTCGTGATGCTGGGGTCCCGGGATTGAGCCCTGCATTGGGCTCCCTGCTCAGTGGGGAGCCTTCTCCCTCTGCCTCTCCCCTGTTTGTGCTCCCTCTCTGGCTGGCTGTCTCTCTCTCTCTGTGTCAAATATAAACAAAATCTTAAAAAAAAAAAAAAAAAAAAAGGAAAGGGAAGAACTTTTATCCATGACCCTCGGGAACACAGCAAGGAAATGGGGAAATTGAGGTTTTCGGGTTTGCTAGCCGCCTCCACACCCCAGTCTGCTTTATGCTCTCATTCTCCTTTCCAAGCTGCGGACCACCTTCCTCACAGGGGCACGCGCTGCTGGAAGCCAGCTAGCAGCTCTCTGCTCTTGGGTCCACGTGAACCCTGGGGCCCCTTCTTGAAGCGGCTTCCAGCACTGTCCTTCCCTTCTCCATCTACCCCACGGAGAGAGCTGGAAGGGCCTGGGGACTGACGTGGAGGTCCGTGGTGAGCTCTGAGGAGGAAGCAGATGGTGGCCTGTGCCAAGTCACATGGGCACAGTACCACCCAGTCTCCGGGGTCCCCCTCCCATCACCCCACCCTGCTGAACCCAGAGGCTTAGCCCAGATGCCATGAGAGTCACCCTCTGATTTGTTTCCTTCCTTCCTTCCTGCCGCTCCTTGTCCCCGTTGCCCGTGGTTGTGGGGATCCCTGCCCGCAGTGTAGGTGGGAGATATTCGACGGCTTGAGCTAGACTTTTCCCGACCAGACAGCTAGGCCACACTTGGAGAACAGTCCTGTGTGCTGGGAGGGGTGGGGCGGCTGAGGCTGCGGGCAGGCGGAGCTCAGTCTTCTGCACCATCGCCCCTGTTCCCCCACCTCTCCTGACCCCACCTGCATGTGCCCTCCAGGCTCTGGCTGCCCCCGCCGCCATGGGCCAGTGGAGCAGAGACACATGGGCACAGCGAGGTGACCAGGGCATCAGCTGCCAGCCAGCTTTGGGCCTGGAGATCCGAGTGTCTCATGTGAGAACGTGTGTGCACATACTCGGGGCACATGTATGTGTGAGTCAGGGTGTGGGCGTCTGGGCATGCACAACTGTGCATTTACGTAAACATACGGCTGTGAACGTGTGCGTTATCTGCGTGTGCGTGAGACTGTGTGGCACAACCACAGAGGGTGCAGGAACTCGTACGTGTGTGCACACGTGTGAGTTTATGCTTCTGCGACTGTGGGAGAGCTATGCGTGTGTGTGTGTGTGTGTGTGTGTGTGTGTCCCCGTGGTGAGTGCCGATGTGCGCGCCTGCCCGGGGAGGGCTGTGCACTTGTGTGTGTTGGGGACACAGTCACCGCTCCCCTTGGTCACAGGGAGGCCTGGGGTCTGGCCCTGGGGGAGGGACCATGGTGACGTCGGGTCCTCTGTGTGCCCTGCCCGAGCTAATGTCGGGGCCGCCACTCCGCCATCCCATCTGTGTGTTACTGTGTGTCCCGGGTTCTGTCAAACGCTCACCCCATATCGGCTGTGCTGCAAGCTTTCCCGGCACGAATGTGCTTCTGTGTCTCCCCCGGTGACCGCCCTGCCCGTCAGCGTACAACCCAAAGAAGCGAAGGCCCCCACAGGCCCACTGAGCCCCGTGTGTGAGCCGGGGGGATCGGGGTACAGGGCCCAGCTGGACACGGGGGCTGCGGGGAGGCCGTGATTTCCGGGACCAGGAGCTGGGTCCCAGCCCCCGGAGTAAACATCTCTCCCAGGAGCACACCGGTCGTTCTGCCAAATGCTCTGTGGCTTCTGGCATCCAGGGGACAGTGCGGAGGGTGACTGCCTGGGTGGTTTTTTTCTAAAGCCTTTGCCCACAGTCCTGTTTCTGACGTGAAGTGAAATTCCGCTGCGCATTGTCTGCTTCCCGAGAATCAGCGCGGACGCCGTGGTGCCAGGCCCTTCCCAGGGAGGAGGGCCTGCTGCACCCGGGCCTGTCCCCAGACCCGCCTCAGCCGCAGCCTGTCTTCGCAGGAGAACGTGTCCCTGGCCGACATCCTCTCCCTGCGGGACCGCGGCCTCAGCGAGCAGGAGGCATGGGCCGTGTGCCTGGAGTGCAGCCTGTCCATGAGGAGCGTCGCCCACACGGCCATCTTCCAGACCCTGTGCATCACGCCGGACACTCTGGCGTTCAACACGAGCGGGAACGTGTGCTTCATGGAGCAGCTCAGTGGTGAGCCCGGGGAGCGCAGGGGTGGCAGAAGGTGCCTGCGGGGAGACCGTGGACACAGGGTCCCAACCCGGGTCCGTGGTTGCAGTGGCCACCCTGGTGGTGTCTCCAGCCCCAAGAACTCGCTGAGGGAGAAGGAGTGGGAGGTCCTCACAGGCTGTGTCACCCCGCTCCTGCAGGGAACCTGCGAGGGGCCCACATGCCCCGGAGACCCTGGCCCACTGGCCCGCAGTGAATGGATGTGGGACATGAAGCAGAGGGCATGGTGGCCCCTGCAGGAGGCCCCCACGGCTGCCCAGCCTCCAGGACTCCCACAGCCCCTGCCCTGCTCCAGGGAGGGCCTGAGCAGACGGCCCGACTTTCCCCAACCTGTGCCTTCAGTCCCCTTTCTGGGAGCCGGGAAAACCCTTCTCCTTCCCCTTTGGACGGCTTCCCCGGGTTTCCAGTGAACGTGCGGTCTCTCCGTTGCACTGTTTCCTCTGACGCTCGACACAGTCCCCCGGGACGCCAGGACAGAAGGAGGTGGGGGGCAGGACGGGGCCCCTGGTGAGCAGGAGGCCATGGCTCCTGACCCTGGGTGGGTGGGCTTCCTCTTCACCGTGTGCCCTGTCCATGTGCGACCCGAGGCCTTCTCTTTTCCTTCCCCAGATGACCCCGAGGGTGCCTTTGTTCCCCCGGAGTTCGATGTGACCGGGAACACCTTTGAGGTGGGTGGCAGCAGCTGGGCCCCCACAACCTTCACCAAGCGGGCTGTTGGTGCGAGGCCGACACGGGGGAAGGCCGCTGTGGCGGGGACACTTCTGTGCAGGGCACGGGCTGGGGGCGGGGGGCCGCCTTTGGAGCACCCCCCTTGTCGGAGTCAGGGTTCCCGGCGGCAACTTGGCGTTTGGACGCGTGCTCATCGTTATCGTTGTTGAGTGTGTTTCCCAAGTGCGACTTGACTACGTGTGCCATGTCGGAGGTGCCCGGAGTTGCCAGTGGCGGCTGGCAGGGCATCGCGGCTTCCCCGAGGAACGAGCCGGGGGGTGGGTGGCAGCGCCCGGCAGGACACGCGGCCTGTGGGGGATCATTCCCAACCGTCTCGCTCTGGGCTGAGGTCGCCACCCCCGGGCACCCTGTGTGCAGGCCGGGCAGCGTGGCAGGGGGCGCCCAGAGCGGACCTCGCCACGGAGCCTGCAGTCTGAGAGGGATGGAGAAGAACAACTCGGTTGGAACGAGTCGTTACAAACTCAGAAATCCCAGGAAGACCCATTAGCTTAGCGACATCAGGTTAAATTTTAGGGTTGGCTCCTCCTGGGCTCAGTGTTACTTTGTAATAAGCCGGCACAGCCCTGGCCCTGAAAGGCCCCGGTCCACACTCGGGGGCGGGCAGGACCCCAGGACCTGGGTCACTGGTGGAGCAGGCCTCTCAGATCCCCTGGCCTCCGGGGCCAGAAGCAGAGCCTGGGGCCTTGGCTTGTGGTGGTTCCCAGCCCTGGTCCATGCACAAACTCCCTTGGTTCACCTGCGTGTCCAAGTCCAGAGGCAGCACGGAACCGAACTCCGGGAATAAGGAAGGTCCCCCTGAGCCGCCCACCTCCGTGCCGTGGGGCTGGTCCTAATAGCAGCGTTGCTGGGTGTGTGCTGGTTCCCACCTTCTAAGAAGAGTGTCGCTATGTGTTATATTCTGGAACTTTCTCTCCCGTGCTTCTGGACGACACGTCTGAACCCAGCGGAGGGTCACGTGCAGCCCACGGCTCGTGGGGCGTTAGTGCCGCTCTGCGCACCCTTGGTAGATCTGGGCGAGAGCCCCTCCCGGGTGTGGATCCGCCACGGGATGGCCACGGGACGGCCACACAGCGGGGCAGGTGCTGTTCCACGGTCTCGGACGCAGGCTGCCCCCAAGTGCTCTCCCGCCGGCAGGTGCCGCGGACCCCCTGCTCCCCGTCTTCCGTGTCGTTGTGGCATTCTCCTCCTGTATCTGCGCCCGCGGAGTGGGAGGCAAATGTCCCGCCTGCAGCGAGCGTGACCCTTCGCCTCCGGAAATGACCGGGTGGCCGAGGGCTTCTCTTGGCACAGTTACGCCTGCCTGTGTCGGAGGTTAGAACTGAGACAGACCCTGCGACACACAGACCCGGGAGCTCACTTAAAAACAATAGTCAGCCGTTGCGTGTTAACATACAGAACAGGTTTTTATGAACAATAGCAGTATTTTTCCCCAAAACACAGTGAGAAGAGTAGGGCCGTTTCAGACATCTGCCCGCCCTTCAGTGTCAGGTTCCGTGGATCCAGCGGGGTTTTCATGGCCCCCCCACCCACGGCTAGGTCCCCAAGGCGGTGTCCCTGGGGTGGCCTTTGGGAGGTCCGGGGTACGCTGGGCTGGAAGGAGACTGAACGTCTCTCTGGCGTGGTGAGGGTCACCCGCCGCAGGGACCACACGGCCAGGAGGGCTGCTCGAAGGCCTCCTATGAGGGAGGAGGGCTCTCCAGTTCAGTGGAGTCAAATTTATTCATGTTTTCCTTGTTAGTACTTTTGTTGTTGTTTTTTTTTAAGATTTTATTTATTTATTTGACAGAGAGAGATCACAAGTAGGCAGAGAGGCAGAGAGGGAGGGGGAAGCAGGCTCCCCGATCCCAGGACCCTGCGATCATGACCTGAGCCGAAGGCAGAGGCTTTAACCCACTGAGCCACCCAGGCGCCCCTGCTAGTACTTTTGTACGTTAAGAGATTTTCTGAAACCTGAGGTCTAATGGAGGTTTGCTGATATTTTCTACTAGGAATTTTTAAATTTGGCTCTTCACAGCCAAACTACTTGACGATGGTTTTCTCAGTAGTGTGAGGTAAGGACCCAGTTCCTCCCTTCCTGTGCGGGTGCCCATTCCCACGGGTGGTGGCCTTCCAGCCCAGCCCCAGACCAAGCACCTCCCTGGGGGGACGCCCGCCCCTGTCCTTCCTCAGAAATATTCTCACTATTCTTGGTCTTTGTTCTTTTTTTTTAAGATTTTATTTATTTATTTGACAGACAGAGATCACAATTAGGCAGAGAGGTAGACAGAGAGAGAGAGGAGGAAGCAGACTCCCCCCTGAGCGGAAAGCCTAATGCGGGGCTCGATCCCAGGACCCTGAGATCCTGACCTGAGCTGAAGGCAGAGGCTCAACCCACTGAGCCACCCAGGCACCCCTCTTGGTCTTTATTCTTGCGCATAAATGTTAGAATGAGTTACCCAATTCTGCGAAAAGCTCTGTTGGCATTTTGCCGGACAGGTGCGCACTCTCCATCCCTTTGGGGAGGAGGGTCTCTGTAGTACCGGGTCTTCTGCATAAACCCCTTCACCTCCTCGCTGTTCAGCACCCCAGTGGCCCTGAGTAGGAGTCTGGAGCCTTTCATTAGTTGAGTCTCAGGAATGTGCTAATTTCTGCTCACATGCTAACTCGGTGGTCATCTCTGGTTTGTTGCTGGTCTGCAGAGCACAGTCCTGTAATATCTGAATCCTCTGTCCAGCCGTTGCGCGGAATCCGTTTACTGCTTCCCGTAACTTGTGGATTCTTCAGTCTTTCTAGCTGATCAGCTCACCAGCCCGTGCGAAGGGTTTGCGCCCCGTCTCCGCTCCCCATCCCGCTTCTGCCCCGGGAGCCGCACCGCAGCCAGCAGTGTGGGGGGCGCGCCTCCTGTTTGGGGGCCCGGGGCTCTGAAAGCCGCGTCTCCCCGCACCCCACCCCCAGCCAGGGCCGTGTCGGCGGCGCGAGGCCCTTCTGTGCCAGTTCTCTACCGTGGCCGCACCTCCGGCGTATGAAAGTGCTTCTGCGTCCTTTGAAATGACCATTAAGATTTTTAATATTTACATACTTATTTTCTTTTTTTTAATTTATTTATTTGTCAGAGAGAGAGAGAGCACAAGCAGGGGGAGCAGCACAGAGAGAGGGAGAAGCAGGCTCCCCACTGAGCAGGGAGGGGTTGATCCCAGGACCCTGAGATCATGACCTGAGCCCCCCAGGCACCCCGCGTACTTGTTTTCTAACGTTAATTCCCTCCTTCCTGCTTAGAAAAACCTAAAGCGGTAGCTGTTCATCCTCAGCGCACGGCACGCCCCACCCTCAGACGCTTACTGTGGCGTCTCGGGCCATGACTGACCACGTCGGGGCAGGACCGTCCCAGGCCGTGCGAGCGCCCCGAGCATCCCCTCCTCTGCCCACAAGAGCTCGTGCAACTGTGGGGCGCCCCGTCCCCGAGGTCCCGTCACCCTTACTCATCAGGACACCTGGGTCCTCGGAGGGAAGGTTTTTGTGAGAGCTCGACTTGGAGTGACGGGATTGACGTTTTGTATTTCTCGTTGAGAGCTTTCTGGTCAAGTGTGGTTTCTGAAGTTGGCCCATTTCTCCTTGTGTTTTCAGTTGCTGCCGCTTGGTTGCCGTGTCCCCTGTCGCCGTGCTGTCTGCGGGACCTAAATTCTCCCTCCTTACCCTTGTCAGGCTCGCCGGGGACATTCCCTTGGTTAGTTTTTCAAAGACCCCACCTCGTGCCACACGATCTCTCCAACGTCTTTCTTTTCTTTTTCCACTGGTTTCTGCTGTCATTTTTCACTCTCTTCTCCTTGTTTTGAGTTTGGCAAGTATCCCCCCTCTGACACGAGTCAGACACTGAGCTCTGCCGCCTCCGGCCCAGCTTCCTTTCCACGCGAACGTTTCTCTCCAAGGCCGTGAGTCTCCCTCGAAACACGGGTCTTGCTGTGTCCTGCCCACCGGTCCGGGCAGCACTGGTACCAGCCTCCACTTCCCAGTGTTTATTTTGTTCCCCCTGGGATTTCTTCAAGAAGGGCTTGAGTTTTCCTGACTTGTTACAGAGATATAATGTGCGTACAGAGACACACACAGGTCACAAGCGTGCAGCTCCACAAGCTTTCCCAGGCTGAGCAGCCCTGACCCGGCATCGTGAGACAAAGAGAGCACGCGGGCTCCCTGCGGGGCCCCGTGGCAGTGGCTCCGAAGCCTTAAATGTGTCATGTCTCTTCACTTGTCCCACTGTGAGTTGCCTTATTTCCCAGTGGGTGGTAGGTGATTTTCTCTGGTTTTCCACCCACGGAGCTGGCAAGTTCTCCTTACCTGACACATGCAAAGGGCCTGCTGGTGTGTGCTGACACCTTGGGCCCAGTGTTTACATGGTCCCCCCTTGGGCCCATGATCCCAGTGTCTCTGTTCTGCTCTTGGATTAGCTTCATTCTAGTGTCTATTCCTGGGGCTGTGAGGACCCCCCCAGCTGCCTTCTGGAGACCCAGGACATGTCCCATGGACTTATCATGTCTGCTCAGGTGCCCATTCCTGCCCGCAATCCGGGGCCACGACCCCCTACCCACGAGGACCATGGTGGCAAACATGTCTTCTTGGTGGCATTCCTGACAGGGTCAGCCCCCGCTGCTTGACTAGGAGACCTCTGGCCCTGGCCTCTGGGCCTCTGGACTGTGGCAGGTGTGCGGCCTGCCGGGCTGTGCCTGCTGGCCGTGTCAAGACCGAGCCTACAGCCTTGCCCACTGTCCTCCCACCAAGAGGCAAAGATAGAGAGCAATTTTCCTGAATTCCTCAAACAGAATTCCCCCTCGTGGCCCCGCCCCACAGCCCCACCCACTGCTGGGACGATGCCTCAGGCTCCCCAAATCCCCAGATGCGTGGAAGCCGACCCTCCTGGGACCATCCCCTGCACATCCCAGCCCTTGCCCAGGATGCCTCAGAGATG